CTCCTATCTCTTACCTCTACTTTTCCAAGTCACTACCACCCCCCCTCAGGACACAGGGCCTCCATACAGCTGCTTCTCTTTTATGCAGAAGGGCCAGCTCTTTTTGATGCTTTTTGTTGGTTGGGTTTTGGGATCGAGAAATCTCGGTCCTTGTCTTAAGCCCATGAAGGCAGTTGAAGCTAAGCTGACATCCAAGCCTGCTCTCCCAAGGCTGTGCCTTAAAATATATATATATTGATTTCAGATAGGGAGAGAGAGAAACATCAATGATGAGAGGGAATCATTGAACGGCTGCTTTCTGCAAGCCCCCTACTGGCGATCGAGCCCATAACCCAGGCATATGCCTTTGACCAGAATCGAACATGGGACCCTTCAGTCCACAGGCTGGCACTCTGTCCACTGAGCCAAACCAGCCAGGGCTGTGCCTTTGCCTAGAGAGCTGACTGTCCCTGGAGAGCAACTGCCACTTGGGCTGCTCCACCCCAGCACCCCCAGCGCCCCCAGCGTCCCCAGTGTCTGAGGCACAGGTTCCTGCAGTGGGTGGGCAGCACTGGGAGCCATGTGTGTAGTTGGGAGGGGGTGCTCTCTGACCTCCGCAAGGTCCCCTGGTCACTGGTTTCTGCTTCCTGGCCTGTTTGTCCAGTAATTAGCTGGTAGCTTTTGGTGTTCTACCCCCTCACCCTTGACCCAGCAGCCTTGAGGTTGAGTGGTGGTTGTGGGGGGACTCTGCCACTTTACCTCCAGGCAGAAAAGGACCCGTAGTAAGGGCTTTAGCGGGTGGGTGACACTTTGCCCAGCTTAGCACCTCCTTTCCCCAAGGCTCCGCCCACCCCCATTGCTCATCCTGAGACCTGGGTTCCTTTTCTCCGCCCACCCCCCCTCCCGCTGCAGACCGCACAGCGCAAGATCAGGGAAATCGTACAACAGGTGAAGCAGCAGGAGCAAAAATACCCTCAGGGAGTCGCCTCACAGCGCAGCAAGTGAGGCTCCCACAGGCACCAGCAAAACAACGGATGAATGTAGCCCTTCCAACACCTGACACCACGAGACCAAACACAGCCAGCCGGATCGGGAGCAAACCAAAGACCATCCTGAGGAACGAGAAGTCTGCGGAGGCACACGGGCTCTGCAGAGGCCCTGAGGACCTGGTGGCCAGAAGAGGGGGTGGGGGGGAGGCCGGTGGCTCACGGCCCGGCCCAGCCTCCCGCCTCCCCGGGCCTCTGCAGGCTGCCCAGCCATCCACTTCACCGCCCGCTCGGATCTCTCCGTAACTCCCACCACGCTATCCCTTTTAGTTGAACTAACATAGGTGAAGGTGTTCAAAGCAAAGCAAAATTCACTATCCTTTTGTGGAAAATTGTCTCTGTACATGTGTGTACATATTAGAAGGGGAAAGATGTTAAGATATGTGGCCTGTGGGTGACACAGGGTGCCTGCGGCGTTAATATATTTTAGAAATAATATATCAAATAACTCAACTAACTCCAATTCTTAATCAAGTATTAATTTTTTTTTTCCTTTTTAAAGAGAAATCAGGCTTTTCTAGACGTTAAAGAATCAAGTCATTCTTTGGGAGGTCTAATGGTTTAGTAAGGAGCTTCAAGGCCACCCACACAAACCCACCAGAGGGAAATCTGGTCAGGACACTCGCGGCAGCTCCGGGTCACCTGTGTACGTCAACAGAAGGGATACCGTCTTCATCCCTGTCGAGCTCACACCCATTTCTCTTTGCTTCACGGGTTTTAAACTGGTTTTTGCATACCGCTCTATAAGTCTGTCTCTGTTTCTCTCTCCCCGTCCATCCTCCCTCCCGTCCTTCTCCACACCCATCCTGTTAGCCCCCACACCCCTCTGCCTCAGTCCCACTCTCTATGCACCCCCAGGCAAAGCAGTGCTCTGAGTATCACATCACACAGAAGGAACAAAAGCGAACACACAAACCAGCCTCAACTGACACTTGAACAGAACAAGAGTCAATGGTACTTGTCCTAGCTTTTCGGAAGAGGAAACAGGAACCCATCAAACCAACCAAAACAAAGAAAAACCCCCCGCAAAGAAAGAGTATATTTTGTCTTTTTTACATTTTGGTGTATAAGCCATCCATTTTCAGCAAAATGATTTCTTTCTTTTGCAAAAAAAAAAAAAAAAAAAAATGTGGAAGAAAATAGCAATTTACATGAGGTCGTTGGCCCAGGGCGTTAAATTTACAGATTTTTTTTAAAAGAGAAAAACACACAAAAAAAGCTACCTCAGGTGTTTTTTACCTCAGCACCTTGCTCTTGTGTTTCCCTTAGAGATTTTGTAAAACTGATAGGAGCATTTTTTTATTTTTTTAATAAAAATGAGTTGGAAAAAAAAATACAATATCAGCTGCCAGCCCGGAGAAGGTGACAGTCCAAGTGTGCACCACCCGCTGTGCGTCGCCTTCCGCCAGCCAGGAGCCCACGCGGCCTTCTTTTGGACGAACCTTAAAAAAGAAAGATGACCAAGAAACACAGAGAAGATGTTGGAGATGTCCTGAATCTCACTAGGGTACGTGCCATTAGGGCTTTTGCGCTAAAGGATGGACATGTACTGGTTTCTGTGAACAAGCCATTTTACCATCAGACTGCAATGCCAGTTTCCTCTACTGCAAACAGTGTTCTGTGACAAAAACAAAAACAAACAGACAAAAAAAAAGAAATATATCCAGCTAACAAGATCCTGGTGTCTTGGTCTCTTATTTCGAGAAGCATCTCCCGTCCCCAGGGGTCAGCTGCGTTCCAGCTCCGAGGGGACTTGGGAAGCAGGTGGCACAGACCTTTAGGACTGGCCAGCTCCTCCCAGGAGGGGGCTGGGAGAAGCAGTCACCACACCAGCAGCAGCATTAGCATCGGGGAACTTTTTAGAAATGCAGGTTGTTGGGGTCCACCTTGAATCAAATTCTGGAGGTGGGGCCCCACAGTCCGTTTCGGCAGGCCCTCCAGGTGACTCCCATTGGTGCCCAAATTTGAGAACCACAGAACCAGAGGGATGGGCTGTGTATCAAGCGAGGTAAGACCAGCCCTGTCTTTAATGAACGTGACGCCTGGCCAGGGAAGGAGAAGAGGGAGGATAATGGGCCTGACAATTCAAGGGAAGAGGTACTTCCCAGCTCCCCAGAAACCACACTGGAAGTGTTCCAGGAGATCTGAACAGGCGGATGAGAGCGGTCCTGTTCCCTTTATGAGCCCATGTTCATAGCTGTGGGCTCTGCCAGAGATTGCTGGCTGCTAAAAGCCCAAGCAACTCTTCAGTTGGTACTTGACTGCCAGGGGTGGTCAGTCAAGCTTTTTGGGGTGACCACTCAAAGCCCAGCAGGGACAGGTGGAGGTGAACTGATGGGTTCCACAGTGGCCACATCCCCCTTCTAACAAACTGAGGGCTCCTAACTCAAAATGTGTTCTTTGCCTGTGTCCCATCCACACTCCTGATTTCCCTTTTATTTTCAATATCTGTGATGCTGATTTTAAAGTTTTTTGTGTAGAAGCCAGCGGTTCCTCTCTCTGCTGTGGTTGGCATGGGCATGGGCATGGGCAGGAACGTGCTATCCCCTCTCGTGGCCATTAGAAACCCAAGTATCTGGGCTTCATCTCCCCCCCCACACACACACTCAGGCCTCAGGCCCACTGCCCTCAGAAGAGGAAATGGAACATAGTCTGCTGGCCTGAGAGAAGCCGTGCTCCTGACAATCGGGGTTATTTCTGAAAACCTTTCCCCTGGTTGAGATGTGCATGTCAGATGAACAGCCAGAAAAACGGCACACCCTTAAAGGGCCTTAAACGTAGGCCTGAGGGTTTGGTGATGGATCTGTCAGGATGCGGAGGAATTGGCGGGAGAGGAGGCATAATGCAGGACCCCTCTTAGCTCTGCTGCTCAGATTTTCTTCCTTGGCCTTTATTCAGGTGGCAAAATTGGAGGTTTAACTCCTGCTCCTAAACTGCCCGTTTCCAAAATATGTGTCTGAACATATGAAAGACAAGTGAGGAGGTGCTAACAGACGCCCTACTTGCCATGGGACAAAGCACCCAGAAGTGGTCCCAAGGTTGCCGCAATGGAGGGGAGCCACACGGAGAGGCAGGCAGCAGG